GGCAAAGGGGAGGGAGAGGGGAAGATGAAACAGGGAGGGTGTCTCCCTTCGTCTTATTTTTCCTCCTCTTAGCAGATATTCTTTTTCTGCTCCCTTTTGTCGTCATATTTGTGTTCATCATAGTTGGATTTCCTGTTTTTCTTTTCCGTGACATATGCCACCTGTCGTGCCAACGTGGACTTAAAAGCACAGAATTGCATAGATCTGCCTACTGTCCAACTTCCATGGCCGGGGGTGATATAGTAGATGAGTAGGGCTAGTTAGTACATGGAATGTTTTCTCTCTGTTTTTCCGATCTCTATGTGCTAATGGACTTGGCTTTCTTGTGCCATTATGCTTGGTGTGTGGTCATATTACGAAATGCAATGTCCCCCGATGTAATGCTGTGTCTTGTGACTCTCACCTCAATAGTCAGTGTACTTTGAATCCCGCCTACCGTCGTCACCTGAACGCCCGGTCATTATGGCTGCATCTGGACTGAAAATTGCCCCAAATACGATAATGACCGGCCGTTCTATTCTGTTGAAGACGGTAGTATTCTACATACTACGTCCTGTACAGCAGGCATCTCTGTCCGTTTCTCTGCATGGATACAGCTATATCCGTTGCTAACACTCTCTCTCAGCCTCTCTCGTGATCTTCCCCTCCTCCAGCACTGGCGAGCGCAAGGCAGAATGAATGAGCCAGCTGGGGCAGGCCAGTCTGTTGCAGTGTCCGAGTCGGGTTGGCCTGCATGTGCCTCTTCCCTGCGCACGAACGGCTGAGATTCTTCGATCTGAGCAGTGGGAACTTGGCTGCGACTTAAGGCCGCTGCCTTGACACAGGTAAGCCCTGGATGACCCTGTGGAGCCTAACTGTCACTTTCCCAGGGCCTGATCTGACATTTCCAGTCCGTGCGGACTCAGTGTGGACGCTGGACCCCTAGCCTGCCCAGACTGAGGACCCTACAGCCCGACTTTTGTCAATGCAGAGGGGGGCTCAATTAACATTTCCAGCCCCGAGTTGACATTCCCGGGACCAGAATTGACACTCCCCGGAACCTGAGTTAAGATTCCTGGGGACCTGAGTCCTTCGGGACATCCGTCAAAATTGGAACGATACAGAGAAGGGAAATTAGCATGGCCCCTGCGCAAGGACCTGAGTTGTCGTTCTCAGACCCTCTGGACTTTGTCTTTTTGGGTCCATTATCCTTCAACTCTGGGGACTTTGTCTTTTTGGGCCCCTTATCCTACAGCACGACTTTTGGCCAAAAGCGACGGACCAAAGACGATAGCAATGCTGGTATAGACCGCGGTTCTTTGCCAGTTGTAGTTTCTAAAAATAGACTTCAATAAAGTGACTTAGTGCTTAACACAATTATCTTTTCAAATTAAATCTTTTGCGTAGAAAAAGAGTGGTCCAACCGCTCCTTGCAAACCCTTTGGTCTGCAATAATGTACCACCCTGGTCTGGTCGTTTCGTTGTTCTGGTAGGCCGGCGGTTCTGCTAATGCCCTGGCACATGAACCAGCTGGCATGTTTTGTTTTGTCCCCTTTTTTTCCCCTTCTTTTTTCTTATGGCTCCAATCTCTTTTCGTAGGGAGCAGCGCATGCTGGAAACAGGCCCATTCCCTTATATGGGAATGAGATCATTAAAAAGATAGTCAAGGAAGAAGGAGCATTCACTACAACTGATGCTCTTTGAAAATGCAAACCAGACAAGAAAGAAAGAAAGAAAGAAAGAAAGAAAGAAAGAAAAGAAAGAAAGAAAGCAGTAGTTGCCTCCCTGACACGATGTATCCTCACTACCGTCTTCACCCGAATAGAACGCCCGGTGATTATGACCATATCTGGACTGGAAGTTGTGCCAAATACAGCCAAAATGACCGGGCGTTGTATTCAGGTGAAGTCGGTAGGGGATATGCCAACATATTATGGATAAGGACTGATTGGCCTCCTCTCCTGTGTTCAAGCTCAGCAGCGCAATCTGCCTACTCATCTATCCCATCTCACCTATTGGTTTTGGCATAGGGCTCTTTTTAAATCTCCTTTTTTTTCTTTCCTCTCAGGGAATGTCATTGAGCGGTCCTCCTCCCTTAGTGCCCTAACCACACATTACAGGTCACAAAAACTACCTGTGGGTCCTTGTTCTCAAGTTGGTTCAAGGAGGAACAACCTACCTGCTCCACAGGTGTCTAGCTCGCTGCTCGTAGGCCGTGGGCACCCAAGCGGTCCATGGTCAGCCATGCACTGAAAGCGGAAGACAGCCTGGAGCAACTGACTGGCGAACAACCTGCTCCTGCGGATGTTCGTCGCACTCAACAAACAGTGCAACGAGGAGAGATCACGGCAGCCTAATGAGTTGCCCCTTCTCTTCTCCATTCAGTCAATTGCTTGACGGAGGTGAACCTGACTGTAATCGACAAGAGAGAGAGAGAGAGAGAGAGAGAGAGAGAGAGAGAGAGAGAGAGAGAGAGAGAGAGAGAGAGTCCTGTGCATTTTCTTTTCCTCTCCCTTCTTCGTCACCGTCGCTGTCGTTACCCTCACCGAAATACTCATCCTCCCTCTTGTTGGTCATCATCATCATCATCATCATCATCATCATCATCATCATCATCATCGTCATTGTTGCAAACACTGTTGTCCTCATCAGAAATCCTCATCCTTGGACAGTGGCCTGTCACGCCTCTACACAGTAAGCATGGCTAGTCTAAAGAACGTAGCAAGGGGAAGGAAGCAGAAAGGGTTTTCACGGACAATCTGGTATCAGGGAGCCATGGGTAATCACTCACCCAATTGGAGACCCCGGGGTGGGAAGGAGAAGACGGAGACAAGAACTACGGATGGCGCATCTTCCTCCCACCCCCCCCTCTCAGAACACACAGAAATGATAAACTGTCGATCATCTCCTGCCCAGGAAGAATTGCTGAAGGAAAACATGGATATGGGGGAACTAAGCAAGGGAGGAGAAGGTAAACAAGCATTCCCCCGGGGCCGTGTTCTTCGTGGGCTGATAAACTTAAGAAAATGTATTCAGGCCAGACCTTGTCAGAAAATAACTGGCTATTTTAATACGACGTACTAACCTTTCTTTTTCTCTTTGGGCCTTTTAGCTTCTTTCTCGTCAAGAGGGTCAAAATAAGCTAACTCTTCGCATGCTTTACGACTTTCATCTATAGTATTTTGAAGATTGAAGCGAATCTGTTGTTTCGGAATTACAACAACTCATGAATTCTCAAGAGGCTCTGCTGTCAGAGTTCTTGAAACAACATGAATTACGTAGTATTAGTTTGCGTTCAAGTACGCAAATGATTGGAGAATCATGTATAAATGATACGATTACACGCTGCGCACCAAATTGCAAACAAACCGTGCAAGCAGTCTTATGTCAACAAATGGAACAAAAGTTCAAAACACTGTTGACTTTTCAAGTCAATTCTCCCATTCATTTACAGGCCTCGCTAGAGGCTTGTTTTTCACAAAGTCATCTGCGTATTGCACATAGCTAAGACGTCGAAAGTTCGCGTCTGCCACTTCGTGCTTGTCGTATTGCTCCTTTAGGGTCTCATATATGTATTTGTCCAATTGATGTAACGTATTCTAGTTTTTTTCGCTTAAAAAATACCAACATATGCATATATAATGTAGATACATATTTATTTATGTGTATGGTATATTTATGTGTATGGTAAACATTGGAGTCCGGAAGGAAGGTAATAGGTTCAAATAAGGAAGGGATTACGGTGGATACCTAGGTACTCAGAGACGAAGAAGGGCGTAGTAAGCGACGAAATGCTTCGGGGAGTCGAAAACAGGCATAGATCCGGAGAGAGAGTCCAATCTTGCTAGCTCGAAGAGAGTCATAATGTAAATTAAAGTAATTATAATAAAAAATCCAATAAAGTAATAATGCAAGATAGAAGTAAATTCAATATTATATTGAATTTACAAACAACATCAGTTTCAAGTCTTACTTTCTATAAAAGGAGAGAATATCCAAAAATTGATCAAGTTACATTTTCGTGAGGATTCTTTATCTTTACACACAATTTGGAATAAATATGAAGATGGAATACAGTGGTTATTCAATTCTCAAAGTACAACCTTACAGAATTACTCTCAAGTGTCTCTCTGAAGAGATCTTGAATATATGCTTAGATTATATGGGAACAATTAATGACAGATTATTATTGGGTGGAATTCCGCCACGTACCCATAGAAATACAAGACGCTAAAAAATGTGAGATAGTTGATTTCATTGACCCCCTTTCCCCCCCCCCATGTGGTCCAAAGGGATGATTATCTTATGGTGGCCCTGGACTTACCGGGATGGTCACATTTTCACCATCGACGATGTAATCCTCTTTCGGGTGGGTGGGGAAGACTTCCGAATTCACACAGCACACAAAACACGGCCTTGGTGTTTTAAATGCTAGGCATACGAACACCTCCCCCTCAAGCCAGACTGCCCTCACCACCCGGCTAAGAGAATCAGATCCACAGGCCGCCTGTTACGGGACCCTTTCAAGGAGACTTGGTGGAGGACGGTGGATGCAGGGCACGAAGGTTGGGTTTATGTGGACGAACCTCAAGAAGGAGGGGTAAGAGGGTGGGAATGGGAGAAAGGCGAAGAAGTAAATTGGAACATATGTG